TCTCCAACAGGCCCTGAGCATTATTGACTCTATGGGTCCTCCTATGGGACTTTATCTTAACAGGCTAAATGTCTTCCTTCCCTCCCTTCGAACCTAGTCCTTCCAGCTAACCCTTTACCTCCTGCAATTCCTATCTCCACAGGTGGTTTTGTTCCTTTAGGTTCCCCTATTGGCCCCTCCTCCTACACCTCCTCTGTCCTCTCCAGCACTATTTCTAGAATTAGTCACACCCTGTCTCTCCTCCCTTCTCTCAGAGATGCTCAGATGGAGACTACCCTCCTTCGATCATGCTTCTCTCTCTCTAAACTTTCTGTTTCCCTCCATACCTGCAATCCTGATCCCCTTATTCCTCAGTATGAGTCTTTTGACTTGCTTACCCTATCCTCTCTCTCTGAATCAGTAAGTGACTCCACCCCCATGATGACCTCTTCTCAACGAGCGGCACATACAAGCCCAGGAAAAAAATCTTACTAAGATCTTGAATAATCTGATCAGATGAGATAAGGTGAGATAAGGTGAGATAAGAGTTAACAACAACCTTATAAGATCTTATTTGGATTTAGTCTGATCGATCTTAGCTATCATATACAGGCATAGTCTTACTTAAGATCTTACAAGAATTATCTTACAATATCACTGATAAGATTTACAGGCCGGATCTTACTTAAGATCTTACATGAATTATCTTACAATATCACTGATAAGATTTACAGGCCGGATCTTACTTAAGATCTTACATGAATTATCTTATAATATCACTGATAAGATTTACAGGTCGGATCTTACTTAAGATCTTACATGAATTATCTTACAATATCCCTGATAAGACTTACAGGCCGGATCTTACTTAAGATTTTACATGAATTATCTTACAATATCACTGATAAGATTTATAGGCCGGATCTTACTTAAGATCTTACACGAATTATCTTACAATATCACTGATAAGATTTTTAGGCTGAATCTTACTTAAGATCTTACATGAATTATCTTACAATATCACTGATAAGATTTACAGGTCGGATCTTACTAAAGATTTTACATGAATTATCTTACAATATCACTGATAAGATTTATAGGCCAGATCTTACTTAAGATCTTACATAAATTATCTTAAAATATCACTGATAAGATTTTTAGGCTGAATCTTACTTAAGATCTTACATGAATTATCTTACAATATCACTGATAAGATTTATAGGCTGAATCTTACTTAAGATCTTACATGAATTATCTTACAATATCCCTGATAAGATTTATCGGCCGGATCTTACTTAAGATCTTACATGAATTATCTTACAATATCACTGATAAGATTTACAGGCCCAATCTTACTTAAGATCTTACATGAATTATCTTACAATATCACTGATAAGATTTTTAGGCTGAATCTTATTTAAGATCTTACATGAATTATCTTACCATATCACATCATAATAAGTCATGCAAGATCTTGAAAGATCTTACAAGTTGCTTGACGTCACAGGAAGTAGTTGACAACCCACGATAGCCTTTACAAAAGTATGAGCATATAAAGAAAGCCAACTTCTAACAACATTAAAGTTAATTGAGTCACCATATCATCACACAACATTATAGCATGCATTAATGCATTGTAAGATCTTGATCAGATCAGTCATTTTAATTATAAGGGATGTGATAAAATCCCATTTAATAAATCATAACTAAACTCTTTAAGATCTTGAAAGATCATACAAGATTTATACCTGATCTTAACTGATAATATACGATTTATTGCCTGATCTTGAAAGATCATACAAGATTTAGTTCCTGATCTTGACTGATAATGTAAGATTTAATTCCTGATCTTGAAAGACTATGCAGTTAAGTCAAGATAATGTAAGATTTATTGCCTGATCTTGAAAGATCATACAAGATTTATACCTGATCTTGACTGATAATATACGATTTATTGCCTGATCTTGAAAGATCATACAAGATTTAGTTCCTGATCTTGACTGATAATGTAAGATTTAATTCCTGATCTTGAAAGACTATGCAGTTAAGTCAAGATAATGTAAGATTTATTGCCTGATCTTGAAAGATCA